AGGACCATACCTATATAAGGCATATTTATACTTTTTTTTATTCAAAATACCAAACAGATCATGCATTTTAGCCATGCTTCATTTTGCTCAATTTGACCATTTCTAGCTCTGTTTTTGCAAGGGCAGATTCTGTGAGAACAGCACCATCTACTGGCCTGGCATATGAACTAGGGATGGGAACGATTAATTGAATATTCAAAATTATTCAGGTATTCGAATATGAGTTATGAATATTTTTATACATTTTTTTTTTTTTTTTGGGAGGGATGCCTAAGTTGATTACATATCATCAAATTGAATAATTCAATGTATACGACAGTGCCATAGCTAAATGTGTTAGGTGCAGCGACGTGCAGTCAGTGGAGGCAGGGGAGGCAGAGCCTCACTGATCTTGTGTAAATGTGATTTCTATATGATTCCAATCGCTTTTTATAGTGAAAATCAGCAAATTTGCCGAGATCCGCTACGGGAGAGATGAGAAGTGAGGCAGGGACGAGCTCTGCCTCACGTAAGCCCACAGTAACTTGCTGGAGCGCGGCCACTTATTTTGTGAGCGCGCTCAAGCCATTTACTGTGGGGTAAGGTGAGGCACAGATGAGCTCTGCCTCACCTCAGAATGCGTCACCCCACAGAAACTGGCTGGAAAGCGGGCACTAAGCGCATGCCTGTTACCATCTCACTGTAGGTCACCAATGTAATGTTTGTAGATCCGTTTATTACATTTATCCTCGCCATCCATAGTCTCTAAATAACTTATTTCACGTATATATGATATTTAGGCTCGCTGGTCTCATCGTACAACGGCAATGAAAAAAGCACCAGGAGAGGCAGCCATAACCTCTGCCGCACTGAAGGGGGCGCACGTGAGCCCACAGGTTCTTGTTGCTACTGTTATTCTACGCAGAGACGGTAGACGCAAACAACAAGCTAGACTTTTGAAACTAGAGGAAGATAAGGAGGACTTTTACAAAACAGTAATAGAGATTGTTGTCCAGAAGGATAGCATGGACTTCATCTTCAAGTCAAGGTAAGACCACAACTGTAATGAAAATGGGATCTTACTAAGAAAGAACAATCCAATATTTAGATTTTGGGTATCCTTTTGTTGAACGGTCTGTTTAAAATTAATCGAAGCATCAGACTAAAAAAGCTTTTGAAAATAACAGAATATCTCGATTAAGGTCAAAATATAATATTTGTAAATCTGACTCTGAAAGAGTCAGTGCCTCACCAGCCATGAACCTCACCGCACGTCACTGGTTAGGTGACGTCTAAAGGTGTGTTTTGCTCCGCTCACCGGTCCCTCACAGCGGGCAGAGCTGCAGGTGCTGATCTCTCTCTCTCGCGTCCGGTACTTCACTCGCGTTTATGTCCAAATCCATCAGATCTAGCTAGTTCTAGCTAATGATATGGCTGCTGCCCCTCCCTACACGCAAATCACGCAGACTCAAACCTCATCTTATGCCCAAATGCGGCGCAAATGCGCTCCGCAGCCGTTGCGAGGTTCCGGCGCTAACAGTTCATGAGCGTACGCCCCCGCCCCCTGTCAACACTCGCGACACATGAGTGGCCAGCCTAAACAACAATAAGCGCTGCTTGGCAACCGTGTGTGGCGGCAAAGTACATAGACATTTTGACAGGAGAGATTTAGTTTTGCCGGTATTCAACATATTTTACCAGTCATAGTCCGGTAATTATTTACACTCTAAGAAGAGTCCTACACAACAGACATGGCGTCAAAAAGGAGTAATGTGTGGAAATATTTCGACCAGGTTAGTGAGTGCGGTGTAGAGTGCAAACTATGCCAAATTAAACTTATATATATATATACATACTATACCTTGCTATACCCGCAACCTCCGTTCCAGCTGAGAGGGTCTTCCCTACAGCAGGCCTGATTGTGAATCGCCTCCGCACATGAAAGCTGTAGGCCTATAGCTGTCAAACTGTGATCACCAGTTCAATACATTTGACAAATTCGACTTGGTTTCTATAGTTATTTGAACATGTATTTATTTATTTCCAAAAGTTATTTAAACCATTTTTTTCAAATTTTTTATAGGATATGTACATTTCGGTTAACCGGTTAACCGTTTTTTGGGGGGTCGAATATTCGAATATACATTTGCTTTCAAATTCCCATCCCTAATATGTACTACAGCGTCTCCAGCGCTTTCGAACGGCAATGGCCGTGGCTGTCTCCTCCTGATTGGTGGAGTTGGCCCAATAGCCGTAGCGCCACTGTCCTGACGTCAGGACAGTGTTCAAATCTGGATCAGATCCGTTGTCGCCCCTTTTTTTAGAGATTTGGGTATGGAGGAAAATAGAGAGGGTTGTGTTTTCTGACACTTGGTGAGTTCCCTGGAAGACCGGGGACACATATTCATGTATAAAAGAAAGTGCATTTTGCATGATAGGTCCCCTTTAAAGGTAGGGTAGGTAAGTTTGAGAAACCGGCTCGAGATCGCTAGAATTTGAAAATACACAACCGGAGAAAATCTGCCACTTCCTTACAGAGCCCCTCCTCCAACACACACAAATGCGCACATGACCAATGAGGGCACGAGATAAGTTTGTGCACAGATGGAAGTCTGACAGGCAGGTAGGCCATCCAGTTATTTTAGCCGGGCCGGCTAAAATGATTGGTCGTACTTTTTACAGTATTACGGCTTCCACAGATGACATTTTTTTTAATGGATTTTTTGTCAAAGCACTTAAGATTTTCATTGCTATCGGGATTTTTAGAGCATTCCATGGAATATAACAAAAAGTGTATCTCGAGCCGGTTTCTCAAACTTACCTACCCTAAAGGGGACCTAGTATGCAAAATGCACTTTTTGATGTCTTTTATACATAAATATGTGTCCCCGGTGTGTAAGGAGACTCTCAAATATTCAGAAAATACAACCCTCTCTCTTTTCCTCCTTACCTACATCTCTGCAAACGAGCAGATCCAGGATTTGGCTCCTATGACGTCATTGGTGAAATGTGGCACACGAGACACGTCCCAAGCTATCGTCACCGGCACACGTCCCAACCTATCGTTTCCGGCACACGTGCCACGTCCCAACCTATCGTCTCCGGCACACGTGACACGTCCCAACCTATCGTCTCCGGCACACGTGACACGTCCCAACCTATCGTCACCGGCACACGTGACACGTCCCAACCTATCGTCACCGGCACACGTCCCAACCTATCGTTTCCGGCACACGTGCCACGTCCCAACCTATCGTCTCCGGCACACGTGACACGTCCCAACCTATCGTCACCGGCACACGTCCCAACCTATCGTTTCCGGCACACGTGCCACGTCCCAACCTATCGTATCCGGCACACGTGACACGTCCCAACCTATCGTCACCGGCACACGTCCCAACCTATCGTTTCCGGCACACGTGACACGTCCCAACCTATCGTCTCCGTATACAGTCGTCTAGCTCAGTAGTTCCCAACCGTTTTCAGTCAGGCCCCCCTTGTGTAATTGGAAATATTTTCGAGCCCCCCCTAATCCGGTTCCCACCGAGATTGGTAGAATTAATTGTATATAGTTGTACAAACATTACATTTTCTCTGCTAATAATTACAAGACAGTAATATGGTCTGTGTTTACATTAGCAAGCATGCTAACACTCAGAGCTAATGCTGTAGGCTATTGGAGAGAATATGTGTAACGTAATGTCCTTGCGGTAAACCCTGCGAGAGAGAAAGGTTTGAGCTCCTACTGTTTCAGAAATAATGCTTGAAGTAGTTTGGAACATAATATGGCATTTAATCACGGCAGCATTTAGCTGAGTTTCTCCCGGTAGCAAACTCTCTTAGCAGGGGAGAGCTGCATGATGCTACAAAGGGGCGTGGCTAGCAGCAGCTGTTCCATTTAAAGCTACGGTCACAGAATCAGCCTTTTTGGAACAGGGCTGGAATAGAGGGGTATGAGGCATGACTACAATGGGTGATCTGTTTGGTATTTTAAGCAAAAAACTTCACAGTCATGTTTTGTATAGGTATGGCCCTACAATATATTTTTAGTATTACCATTCTATAGGCGTAGTGTAGAACGATCCCAAATACAATTCATTGTTTACATTGCAGCTAGTGCTAAACCAGAAGAAATAACCCTTTTTCATTTTTAACTGGAAGTGGAATGGGGCTGGGCTACGTGAGGTGAATTGAGCCAACAAAAATACACAATAGGTGGGACTAAGAAAGATAATATTAAAGTATAAAAACAAAGGCATTATTAGGGCTGAAAATGTCTCCCGTTTTAATGGTGATTAGATTTTTAAATGCTAACACTTAACAGATTTTTCTGACTGTGTGTTTCCTGTTTCCTGCAGACGTCCAGCAGCTGGTGGTGGTTAAAGAAGAGGTTCTCCCTGACCAGCAGGAATGGAGCACCAGTCTGGACCAGGAGGACCCAGAGCCCCCCCCACACATTAAGCAGGAACAGGAGGAACTCTGGATCAGTCAGGAGGGAGAGCAGCTTCAGGAGCTGGAGGAGGCTGATATCACCAAGTCCACTTTCACTCCTGACCCTGTGAAGAGTGAAGATGATAAAGAGAAACATCAGTCCTCACAGCCTCATCAAAGACAAACTGAACACATGGAAACAGAAGCTGATGGAGATGACTGTCGAGGACCAGAACCAGCCAGGAACTCAGATCCAGAGAGCAGTTTACAACCAAAGACTGAGGACGACACTGGAGACTCTTCTGAACCTGACACTGGAGACTCTTCTGAACCTGACACTGGAGACTCTTCTGAACCTGACACTGAAGACAGTGCTGATTGGAAGGAGACCAGAGAACCTGCATCAGGCTCAAACTCACTGAAAAATAGACATGAATCTGTCAGTGATCTACGACGTAGTGCTGAAAAGAAACCATTCAGCTGCTCAGTCTGTAAGAAAGCTTTTTCACAGAGTGGAAATGTAAAGATACACATGAGAGTCCACACAGCAGAGAGACCCTTTAGCTGCTCAGTCTGTAAGAAAGCTTTTTCACAGAGTGGAAGTTTAAAGGAACACATGAGAGTCCACACAGGAGAGAAACCCTTTAGCTGCTCAGTTTGTAAGAAAGGTTTTTCACTGAGTGGAAATTTAAAGACACACATGAGAGTCCACACAGGAGAGAAACCCTTTAGCTGCTCAGTCTGTAAGAAAGCTTTTTCACTGAGTGGAAGTTTAAAGGAACACATGAGAGTCCACACAGGAGAGAAACCACACAGCTGCTCAGTCTGTAAGAAAGCTTTTTCACTGAGTGGAAGTTTAAAGACACACATGAGAGTCCACACAGGAGAGGAAATATACAGCTGCAATGTTTGTGACAAAAGATTTAAATGGCGTAATTGTATCAAAAGACACAAGTGTGTTGGTCGTCAGTCCTCAAAGCTTAATGAAATTTAAACTGAGGATAACAGAGAGGCAGATTCTCCAATCAGCAGCTCAGCTGAACACACAGAAGCTGATGGAGAGGACAATGAATAAGTCTTATGACAGTTCACAAATGAGAAAAATCTGCCTGACTGGATCAACATTGTTGCACAACATTCATATAAGACTTAAACGAACTCTATCTTTATCAACATAAGTGGACAATATGTTTAATGTTTTTGTCATACTGATTTTCTGATTTATACGTTAACCACTGACTGTTGATGAACCATTTCATTGTGGATTGAGGGCTCCAAGTTTCCATATACAGATAAAGGATGATTTGATGTATTGTTCTTTATTTGTAAATGTTTTGTATCATTGCTATCCTGTTAATGAGCGCTCTTTTACATAAATATACCTGTTATCTGATTGTTTTTGCTTCTGTAACTGTAAGGGAACACATTTGCCCATTTTGTATCCTGATGACCTAATGCCGTTACATGTGATACGTTAGAATAGAATATCTTTATTGTCATCACACATCAGTGTAACGAAATTCAGTTGGCTTCTCTCACTGCAGTACAGAACACATCCATAAAAGCAGTGATAAAGCAGAGATAGTAGCAATAATCAGGGTCATCACTTAAATGCACTTTACCAGAATGTTAAAATACATTTTTAAAGATTATTTAATAGACTTCCGGTATGGGGTGTGCTGAATAGACGCGTGCTCGGTTGGCTCTAACTTTCCCACTCTTATTTACCTTTTTAAACCTCGTCTTTTTTCAACATAATATGTTTGCAACGGCTTTATACCCTGTGATCAGTCCTCAAGCTCTGTGATTGGATGTTGGAGTGGCAGTGCGCGAAATTTATACGGGGCGTCAAAAAGCACTTTGAAATGGAATGAAACCCATCGACGGCACACTATCCAAAACAGGAATCGAACGTGTCCTACCCCCCCCCCCCCCCCCCTTAGGTCACAGGCTCCTCCAATAGTGCAACACAATAAAACAGATACACAGAAAAAATAGCGCAAGTAAATACAAAAAGGAAAATAGTAAAAAGTGAAATAGTGCAATAAGTGATTGGAATATGATATATTAGATAAATAATCTACTAATAGTTAATTAAAAACTGTATATAATGGCTTTTTTGCACATCCCTTTCAAGATTTCAAGATTTTCTAAGGTTTATTGACATATCATATACACAACTACGGTGTAGTTATGCAATGAATGAAAAACTTGGGTCGCAGGTTCCTCAACAGTGCATTACAAGACATCTATCGATATCTGTGTACCTCCACCATTAAACATATTCTGCACATTTCTTATACTATCTACATACATCTTATAAGAGTATAATTAATATGTATAATATCAGTTAAAATAAGTGCTTCAACATAGTTAACATTGCAGGAAAGTTGATTGTCAAGTTCCAAAACAAACCATGCAATATATTAGACGTTAAGTACTTTGTCAGGCTTACTATATGTAGATACCCCCAAAGCTTTTCTTTATTTAAAAGAAGACCTTAACCTAAAGTATTCTTTAATGTTTACATAAAGCCATATTAGTTTGTCTGTTTTGCACATCCTCCTATCAGGCACTAAACTGTTTTATTGTAGAGATCACTAACAGTATCTTCTTGATATTTTCTATTCTATATTATTTATATCATTGACCTTCTACTTTCCCACTATATTAAGAGTATGTACTCTTAATATTTAAATGTTTTCATCAAATATAACTCATTCAAAAGTGCTTTACAAAAATGAAAGACATTAAGAAAAAGGCATTTTAAAACAGTCATTAAAAAGCAACACAATCTACCTGCATTGCAATCACTCTAAACGTGTAATAACGTGCTTTAACCAGTAGGAGGTGCTGGTTAAAAAGCTGTCAAGTTTACAGTGTTAACAAAATAAAATATACTGCTGTTTCTGGTTTAGTTTACGACGGATATATTCTGTTATTGTTTTGATATTAGTAACACAAAAGCGATGTAAAAAACCCACAGCAACACAGAAAAGATGGTCTTAACATGACCCAGCGGTCTAGTAGTTAACCAATGGGAATGGACGCTCACATTGCTCTCTGTGTCCGTAATACAATAAAGGGGACATGATCAAATAGGAATATAATTATCTTTTAAATAACGTTAACTAAAGGGAACAATCTATTTGACACAGCTGAAGCTCTGGCCTTCCTTAAAAACTAACTAATTTAATAAAAATCACAGTTGTATTACACACAACGCACTGTTTTTTGAGAACAAAAATTAGTAACTAATGCACCATAATACATTCTGACGAAAAATAAAAATTATTATGAATACAAATAAAATAAAAGAAGCCTCCCGTGAGTTACTACAAGCTATAAAGTAGATTTTAAAAACGTTTTATAGAATAAAAGCTCACTGCTGGACGTTGTAGAAATGCGTGTGTGCACCACGACAAAGGAGCCTCATTCACTTTACATTGGGGTTGTGCATGGTGCCGACACGTAAATGTAGCAAAGTTCGTAACTCCACCACGCACTGCGGTGTTAAGGAGTCGTGGTGGAGTCACGCATATTATGAAATAAAAGTCCCCTGAAATAAATAAATGTGGCATTATGAAATAAAAGTCCCATGAAATAAATAAATGTGTATTTAAATGTAATTTCTGCCGGAGAGAGGGGAGTTTGTCCCAAAGCTTGCCCCTGTATTTACTCCCTCCATCTGACAGGAGGGAGCCTCGTTGCGCTGCTAGTGTCACTCCACGGAGTATGCACTGCGCATGCGCAAGTTTTAAACTTAAAGGGGACCTATCATGCAAAATGCACTTTTGTACGTCTTTTATACATGAATATGTGTCCCCGGTGTTCCAGGGAACTCACCAAGTGTCAGAAAACACAACCCTCTCTATTTTCCTCCATACCCAAATCTCTAAAAAAGGGGCTGCAACGGATCTGATAAAAACTGATCCAGATTTGAACACTGTCCTGATGTCAGGACGGTGGCGCTACGGCTATTGGGCCAACTCTCCACCTATCAGGGGAATGTGGGGTTGGGCCACGGCCGGCCATTGCCGCTCGAAAGCGCTGGAGACGCTGTAGTACATATGCCAGGCCTGTAAGTGGCGCTGTAGTCTGCCACAAAAGCAGCGAAGAAGACTTCCCGGGTTACCATGGTTACCCTTCTGTTTATTCTCCGCTGTGGCTTTTTTTCTCCCTCCCCGAGGCAAGCGTTTGCTCCTGCTTCTTTAATTCAATGCAATCCCTCCCCGTCGAGGCAAGCACTGTAATTCTCTCCGGTTAGTCCACCAGCAGATGACAAACACCCACCTCTCCGCCTCTTCCAAGGAACGAGGGGACCGTGCGGCAGAGTTTCAGTTAGGTTTTATTTCGCCGGTCAAGATGTCCGTTAAAGTTTAAATCTTCCGGACAAAATTAGAAAAGTGCCGGTCGAAGGTTTTCTTTGTTATTTATTGAGCTTTAAAACAAATGAATAACGACTCTATAGGCCTATAATAATATAATAAAACACGGAGGACGGAGATCTATTTTTCTCCCCCTCTTCTGACTTCATCAGAGCGCGCTCCCCTCTCCTGCAGGGGGGCGTGGTCAGCTGCAGCTCACAGAATCAACCCCCTGCAAACACAGAGCTGGAGAACAGCAAATAGAGCGATATGAGACATGGCTAAAATGCATGATCTGTTTGGTATTTTGAAAACAGAAACGTATAAATATACCCAGTACTCGAGTTGAGGGGGAGTTTCAGGGGGGATGAGAGGGGAGGGCATCCCCCCTGAAATAAAAATGGTCAAAATCATCCCCCTTCTAAAACTGCCATCCCCCCTTTCCATCCCTTATGTTATTTTATCAATGAACGTGGCACTGGTATTACTGCTATTTCAACATTAATTTTGCGCATATTGAGTAAAATACTGTGGGCGAGGGAGCACGCACACATGCAATGACATTTTTACCAAGTCACTGACGCTATGCTATGCGAGTGCCGTGATGTGCCCGTTTGATTGATGCCAGGAGCTGCATAGCAGCACTAGCGCAGGTAACGGTCATCACAATGGCCAAGCGACCAGGAGGACAACGTAATCTGAGGGACTTCATATTTAAAAAGACTAAAAATAACATTTCAGGTAAGTCAAGAGTCAGTAATCTTAGTCATTACTCATTACTTTAGTCACCAAAGGTGGAATCTATGGACATAAGCAGCAATAACAACTTAGTTTGGAGTTTAGCTACGTTTTTCTTTCGTGTTAGCTAGCTGGTAAGACTCAAAACTGTTGATGAAATGATACCACCAGCACCAGAAGAGCTGAAACCCCTCCTTCAAGCAGTGAACACTCTGGGCATCTCCACAGCTGAGTGTGAACGTGGGTTTAGTCAGATGAACATGTTAACCACAACTAGAAGCTCCCTAGAGGTAAAAAGCATGTCAGCCTTGCTTTTCATCAAGTGTGTTGGCCCTCCACTGAACAAGTTCAGACCAGGGGCCTCATTTATAAAGGGATATACGCTCAAAAAATGGCGTACGCCAGTTTCTACGCAATGTTTGTGATTTATAAAATACTAACTTGACGGGAAAATGTGCTGTCCTCCACGCAAACTCTAACCCATGCGTACGCACTAAGCACACAAACGGGAGAGACGAGAAACTGCGACACCGTTGGCAGAAGGAAGAATGGAGAGAAATATGTGGAAATAATACCATAAATAAAATGTTACCTCTCATTTATCAAATATGAATAATTCAT